TAGTAAAAATATTTTTATTAATAAATTAATACACAATTATCGTATATAGAAAAATGTAAAATAAACATCAAGTACCTACAGTTAATAGTTTTTGAATTACAACTTGTTACTTTAAACGGCCAGAAGGATGTGTTAAAGTGTAAATTTATACATATTATATGCTACCTTACAGATTCGACAACAATAATAATTTTAAGCAATTAATAAGAAAAGCTCTACAAGCTTGCTAATATCTTAACAATAAATACTTATAAAATAAGTACCTATAGAGGTATACCTTTCAGTGTAACTCTCTTTCGATATCATTATTCATACAAACAATCGTAACAAATGAACGGATGGATGGGTGCAACAGGGATTTAATAAATGTTCTTTAAAYTTATTAGAGCCCTAAGACAATCTTGTTTAAAAACTTTTGGACTTATGAGGTATTTTAATTTCACCGACGATATGTTAATTATATATTATATAATTATATATATACCTGCTAGAATTTAATAAAATTAAAACTAAGAACGTCTATAAAATAAATTGAGCATAATTAATATTTTCAATATTCTTAATTATAAATAATGGTAAAAATAACTTATGAGGAAGGTTATACTAAATTTTTAAGTTTTTTTAATGTTCGCATTTAGAAACAAATTAGAAACARTAGAATATTTCAAATGTGTATAAGTAATACAAAAAGGCCAAAATATTTTTGAATTATGGACGATTTATTCAGTAAAAATGTCAAATACAAAAAGATTTTGTAGAAAACTATTTTGCAAAAATACCTTTTATCTATTCTTATTTTTTCAATTTTTTTTTATTTCCGATTGCCATAAATATTTGCGGGAAGTTAGGAAATTATTATACTTTGTACCCTTTTTTTTCTTTCCTAGGAAATCTTGATATTTCAACATTGTGAGTAACAGGTTACTACAGGTAACTTATCAACATTTTTTTTTTTAATGTAAATAGCAAGGATGATATTTACATGAATTGAAATTTCCAGTTTGGTTATTTACATAACACTTCTTCCTCTTCAAAATCGARATTATATAAATGACGTATGAAACACAATTTTATCCCTAACCTATTTCATATTGAAAATATATATT